TTTAACGTCCGAACGGATAAAATTTTTGCACAAAATGAGCCTAGATGCGGATAAGGAATCGTCTTCATCAAAAATAGGTCAAGGTTGTGTGCGTACATTAAATTGGAGCTGGAAAAATGTGGGGCGGGGCCTAACTTTTCTCTCATGCACTTTTTGCATTGGTGGCGGGGTAGCAGTCACACTTTCGGAGCAGTTGGAAGAGTTGACAATCTCTACGTCTGAGGAGACCAACCTCTTAGAAATGACAACTTTTGGTTGGTCTCCTGAAGCCGACATTGCGTTTTCTGATCTTCGACAATTAGAAGATCTCACTTTCGATAAGGATTCACTTTGGTGAATACTAAAGCCAATCATTCCATTCAAATTTTGGGTAGGAACCAAGGGTGACCAGTTCACAATTTCGCACGTGTCGGCGAGGCTCACCACTTTCGCAGGGATGCGACAATCGTCACTATCAGTTTTCAGAAATCAGGCTAGTTCAGAGCGTCAGACATCCGAGCTTGTCATCGACATTGGAAGAAGCACCTTCCCAGGCATGCAGCAAATATGAATTTCTCGAACAGTTTGAGGGGGAGGGCAACTCTAGGGCTGCCCTTATCGCATTAGGCAATTAGAACCAGCTAAGTCAGATACTAGGATAGGGTTCAGATCCGAAGGTCACCTCACACTTGGAAGCAGATTCAAGTTACCGCCCTTTTAGGGGATAATTTTATTGTGAAACGGATGGGAACAGGTGTTCCAAGTCGCGTGTGTGTGTACGCGTGGGACCTAGGCACTCGGGCGGTCTATTTAAGGGACAGCAGGGTGTGGCTTGACACTGGGTACGCTGATTTAGGAAGGAGGGTGTACGCGACCGAACGGTCGTCACCTCTTTGATCGTGCATGACGGTCACGCTCAGGATCAAATGAAAACAAAACAACCCGGAAGGTGATCAATACCTAGGTAGGACGGAGTGGCTGGAGTTCAAATGTGTAAACAAACAGTTGGATAGACCAGTAGAAAAGAACGCGTGTTGTGCCTCACGAAATACTCTATCAAAATACCATGGTTACAGGGTTGGTGGGAATCTATCCAAATAGGTGGGGGAACTATGCGCTAGACTCTCAGTTGTCCACATATTTCATCATAT